GTGATCTCCTGCAAGCCAGTTCGCCCCTTGGTAGACTGAGGTCAGCTCAGATCCCTGATGGATTTACCCCCATGCAGAGGCTCAACAGAGTGGGCGGAGCAGACAACCTTGGCTATCGTCGTTTGGCATGCGGTGCCCATGCTGACCTTGGGGTATCATGTCCCTCTTTTACACATTTGGCCTTGCTTCTGCCTCTGCCACGGTGCCTCCCTTTCCACCTCCATGGTGAAAGCTGCCGAGTGCACACATGCGTGTGCGTGCACATACACACACACACACACACACACTTCCTCTCTGAGCTTCTCCATCGAACCTGCGCACGATTTGCCCGTGAATACAGAGAACGGGCTGGCTTCAACCTCAGAGATCTCCCTGCTCCTGCATCCTGAGTGCTGGGATTAAGGGTGCGTGCCACCACCCCTCACCTTGTATCCCTGGCTGATCTTGAACTTGCAATCTTCCTGTCTGAGCTTCCCAAGTGCTGGGACAGCCGGCGTGACCCACAGTGTAGCTGGCTATGGCCAAGAAAAGTCTGACTCATTGTCCTGTTTCCTCAGATGAAGTGGATGAAGTTCCAAGCGAGGTGGCCAGAGCACGCGGACGCCTGGATCAGCTATGCCCACCGGCCCAGTAATTCCAGCTGTCTGTGGGCTAGACGATCCATGGGTGTTATTACAGGGGCACGAGTACAGAGTGAGGCTGAGAGCTTACATTGCCCGGGATGACCTGAGCATCTCTGAGGCCAAGGTCAGCATTGAATTCTACCCGCTGGAGCCCTGCGATGGCCTTGCTTCTTCAAACCACCCGGTGCCCTGCCACACATATCATGTGGCACCAAGCTCTAACAAAGGTCTAAGGGAAGTTTGAAGGAAAAGCTGCCACAGTGCCAGGAGAGTTGTCCAGTGAGTGTGGTGGGAAGCTTGAGGTATAGTCCGGGCTCTGGTCCAGGGGCACCAGCACGGTCTTTGGCCCCACAGCAGATCTCTGAGATGTCCGCTGATGTCGGTGGGTGACTGTAGGAGTCTGAAGAAGAAAGGAACCCCAGAGAGAATGTTTACTCTGTCCCTGAGATAACCAGGAATCATCAGCTGCCGACAGGCTGCAGAGACCTGGGTCTCTCACGCCCCTTTCTCTGCTGTCCTGGAAGGGAAACTGCAGCTCAAAGTGCAAGGGGCTCTGGCCTGAGCTCCCAGTTGGTGGGCAGTAGGGCCTGGACATGAGCCCTGTGGCAGAATTGCTTCAGGCCCTGGATGGATGGCGGCGTCCTCAGCGCGGGCTCCAGAACAACTCCATCTGTTACACATATGCTCGTCAGCAGCGTTGGCTGACAGGACCACAGTGAAGAAACGATTTCATTAGGACCCATGCGCCAAGGGGTGGGGACTGCTGGCCTAGGTCTCGGAGCAGCCTCTCCAACACTGGTCACACAGTGTGTGACGTACAGCCAGTTCCTGGAGGTGCACGCACCGGCAAACTCCTTGGGTGTGCAAACACTCGAGGCCAGGGCCCTGCTGGCCGAGGCACGTTTGCTAAGGCACTGTTCCACATAGATGAGTCCCCGGCCTGTGTAAAGTGTGAAGAAACGGCAGGTGACCTTTATCCTCTCCACTCTTGACTGTGAGGGAGTCAGGAGCCCCTGGAGAGTTGGCCAGAGGTTCTCTGACCTCATCACACCTGTGGGAGGCCCTGGCCCTGGCCCGGGAATTTTTTTTTTTTTTTTTTTTTTTGGTTTGAGACCACATAGACAGGTTTATCAAAGGCTGGCCTGAACCTTGAAATCTTCCTGTTCTGGACTCCTGGATTATACGCATGGAGACATATGAACCTGTGACCCCAGCACTTAAACAGCTGGGGCTACATAGTATATATACCCCGCATTCATATACGGACCAACTTAGGGAGAAGCCACCAGGTCTGCCTGATTCCCGATTCTAGCAGCCCAGCTGACAGAGGACAAAGGCCAATGGCTTTGCCACTCCCAGCGACAGTGGCGTTTTCCCAGGGTTTTGCACCAACTAAATGTTCGTCAGAACCCACAGGCCTTGCTGGCCTATCAAAAAAAATCCTGCTTGCTGCAAGCTAGCTCTTTGTACTGGTAACTTCAGTTCTAAAAAGTACAAGGCCGGAGCCAGGCTATGATCTAGGTGGGTAAGCATCACATTACAGGAGGTTCTGTGTCTTGGAGGCTCTGCAGTATTTTTCTGTTAGTGGGGACACTGGGGCGTCTCAGGTACCCCAGGTTAGATCCATCTTGAGTTTCTGGTCTCTCCCCATCAAACAGGCTGGCTTTTGTAGGTACATCATAAATCATAAACTGCAAAGCTATGCATGTTGTCCTGGTGCCACTGCCTGCTGGAAGGGGGCAAAGGGAAACTGGCTCTAGGGATGCTTCTCTGAAATGTCACTTCAAAGCTGGGCACATGTGACAACTGCCAGCTCTCCTGGCTCAGCTCCAAAGCCAGGATGTCGAAGTGCCCCCTCTTCCTGCTCCTATGGGTACCTCACGTGACCTGAGCCAGCTGGGCACAGGGCTGAGTACAAACCACAACAGAGCCATCTTGTGCTCAAGTACAAATTTAATAAAGCCCTGACAAGTCTTAGTCCACAAGTTACCTACAAAAACAAAAACCCCACTTCTTTCTGGAACCACTAGGAGCTGCTGGGACGTCAGTGGACAGTAGCTATGGCAACTGCTGGGAAGAAGACTCTGATGGCCGACAGACCACCCCAGGTCAGAACTAAACACACCGAGTTGCTCTCGGTGCTTACACCTCACTCTCTCCCGCGTCCCGGCTCTAATGCTCAGGTTCCATGTTAACTCATGCAGGCTGTGCCTGGGGCACAGGACTCTGCAGGCAAGCTGGGAACACACATGGCTGGCAGACGTCTCCAAGGACGCTGGCACCACTTTCCAGAACTCCAGGGCTTTCCTGGCCTACCCCAGCTCCAGCCACAGCTCTTTGCTGACTGAGAACACGGCATGCCTGCCTTCCCACTGTGCAGGTTCCTGTGGACACTATCTTCTTGCTTTGAGCACTATAGCCCTAAGCTGGCTCCACAAGGTGGAGGGGGGACCAGGACTCCTGGCTCCAGGGTGGGAGGGAGGCTAGAACTTGATGAGGCAGGAGAGGCGTGACTGCTCTCAGATCACTAAGCCCAGGGCTCTGCCTCAACATCCTGAAGTTCTTAAGGGAAATAGAGAAAGGAGGCGCAGGAACGCAGTGGGTGGGAAGAGAGTGAGGTCCCGGACACAGAAAGCCCAGTGCCAACAGAGGTGGCAGCGTGCACATGTGGGACGCACCCTCAGCCTCCAGGGCCTGTCAGTGCAAAAGGACGGACTCGGAAGTCCCTGGACTAACATACTGCCCAGACGACTGGCCACTGTAGGTCTCGTGTGGTTCTCCATAGGTAATGAGGGGCTCTGGCTACTCCAGAAATGGGCTGTTCTTCAGGGTGGGGCAGGTTTCTTCCAAGCTAGGACACCGATGCTCAGGCCAGGGGCTGACAGCAAGGGTCCCTGACAGTGTGGCCTGCTGAGGACTTGGGAAGGAGGGCTGTGGTGTGAACACCTGGATCCCTGTAGGAGACCCTGACTGTGCTCAGTGGCCTCCCCGGTTGCCTGGGAAGAGGCCGCTGTGGACAGGGTGGAGGCAGGGGCTTTGCTGTGCATAGAGGCTTGGCGAGGCCGTACCTGAGTTTTCAGAACGGAAGGAGGAGCTCACAGGCACAGGCCTTGTGTCCTCAGAGGGCGAGAGAAGGAAGCCTCACAGAATTACCAGGATTGCTCTACAATCACTGGGCCCAGGTCTCAGGCCCCAGAAGGCAGGAAGGCCCTGCGTGGGCAGAACTGGGGACGTGTTTTCACCAGCCCTCTCTCCCCAGCGCACGGAGGGCGCTGTGCAGCACTCCCAAGCTTGGGTGTCTCATGGCTATTGAGAGGGTCTGAGGGCTGCAGGACCCTGGCCACACTCCTGGGGCATGCTGCCTCCAGGAGCCGAAGGGCTCTGTGGCCGTGAGAGTGGGCGGGGTTAGGAGAGCTCGAAGCCCGTGTTCATGCTGATGGCGTAGCGCAGCTTCTCACGGAGCACGCTCTTCTTGCTGTAGTTGGGCAGCTTAAGCAGGTTGAAGCAAGTGGAGGAGGTGGGCAGCCGCCCGCCCGGCTCCCTCTTGCGGATGGTGAAGAAGCCCCTGAGGACGCTGCCCAGGGTATCCCCAGTGTCCTGCAAGTACACAGCACAGCTTTGGGTCAGAAGGTGCTTACACAGGAGCAGGAGATGCCCAGCTCAGGGCCCAGCTCAGGGCCCAGCTCAGGGCAGGGGCCTGAGAGGCAGAAGAACACCTGCTGCTGAGCCCTCACCCCTGCTGCTGAGCCCTCACCCCTGCTGCTGAGCCCTCACCCCTGCTGCTGAGCTCACACCTGCTGCTGAGCTCACCCCTGCTGCTGAGCCCTCACCCCTGCTGCTGAGCTCACCCCTGCTGCTGAGCTCACCCCTGCTGCTGAGCCCTCACCCCTGCTGCTGAGCCCTCACACCTGCTGCTGAGCTCACCCCTGCTGCTGAGCGCTCACACCTGTGGAGTCCTGTTCTCGGTCACCTAAGACAACAGGCTCCTAGCCAAAGGACATGTATCAGTTAACTAAGGCAGCCTAGTACCCCTTCTGTGTCAGTACCACAGCCCACTAGCTCTTGGCTCAACTTTCCCCAAAATTTGGAAGTGGAGGACCATCTAGTGTCTGACCCATGGCCACACAGCCCGAAGGCTGCAGGCTGCAGAGAGGTGAGGCAGGGACACCCTGAGACCAGCAGGCTCTCACAGGGGACCCACATCTGAGCATCAGCTTGTCATGCTCATACCACACTGGGCACATGAGTCCTAGGGCGTTCTCTCTTAAGCTGCAGTCCACAGGCAGCTTGCCTGGCTGTGCATGTCAGCAGGGAGGAGCTGGGGCAGGCCTGCTTTGTCCTCTTACCCTGCCTCTTGGACCTTGAACCTGGGCGGATCAGCAGCCATGAGAGTGTCCTAATTACACACCCCACAGGCCTTCCCCACGGAGGGACCTCAGACAGTACTGGAGCCCACACTGATCTGGATCTGCAGTGCCCTCTGTGGGCAGCTGGCTGTCATGCCCTGAGAGTCATGTAGGCAAGGGTGGGACACAGTGGGCACAGCAGAAACTAAGCACAAAGAAGGAAGGACGGACGGACGGACATGGCTGCGGTTACCTGGTCATCTGACACTTCCACACAGCGAATGGAGAACGGAGGCTTGAGGTAGGCGAATCCTAGGAGTGGGGGCCGGGAGCAGCTGGTCACAAACTGCAAGAAAGGCGGGGTTAGAGGGACAGTAGGGGTCAGAGGGACAGTAGGGGGTTTTGCCACTGCAGCCCTGCTGGGCTCTTCTCCCTCCGTGTGCTGTTCAGTAGAACCAGGGGCAACGGAGGTGCTCACCCACATGTGCCCAGGACAGTCACATGTCTCTAGGGTGCCACTCTCTGGAACTAAAGCTCATGCAATAATGGCCCGGTGAACAAGACTGGTGGCTTGTACGGCAACCTGGAGTGACATCCCACGAAACAGGTCTTTTTATATCTCTGACATAGACTCTCGTCTAACCCAAGCTGGCTTTCAACTTGCTCTGTAGCAGAAGATGCCCTTCGACTCCTGGTGTGCAGCAGCAGACCAGTTTAGAGTAGGTCTCTAGCTGCACAGCCACACAGTAAGCAGAAGCAGGGAGGCACCCGTCCTCGGGGAGGACAGCAGTGGCAGCATCTGAGGGGCCTGGGCAAGTGGATGCTGGCGGTGCTCATGAGCCTAGGTCTGGAGCCAGTGAGTCCTGGACAGCTGGAAACCATGACCTCCTGCATGGCGTACACTACTGTAGTGACAACTTTGGAATTTTGGTTTCTTTAAAAAAAAAAACACAGAAATATTTTAAAGTAGTTTCATTTTAATCCCAGGTGTGGGGATATGGGGTGGCTTGTTGCTTCAGACTGCCTGCAGCAGCTGACTGTGATCTGCCTCGTGCTCTAGCAGAGGCGTGGTCTTGCCAGCTGTAGATACTTTCTACAGTCGTGTGATGTTTGGAATTCTGTGAACTTTGCAGAGGATAGATAAATGCTGGAGATCTGATAGGTGTGGTTGCTGGTCACTGGGGGGAGGGAGGGAGGGAGGGAGGGGGAGGTTGCAGTTTTTAGGCGTGATGCTCAAAGAAGAAACAAACAAACAAAAAACGCAGCCAACCAACCAAACAAGAAGAAAGCAATTAGATTCAGTGATCTCTCTCTCCCTGCTATCCGTTCTCTCCCAGTGATAGGAGGTGAAGCCAGGCAGGTAACGGTGGGAAAGAAGAACCAGCACAGTAGCAGAGCCCAGCTACACACCGGTGTCTTGCACGTAAACAGAACTTCCTGGGAGTTGGGCTCCAGGGGGTGGGTTCCGGGGGGGCTGGGCTCTGGGGGTGGTTTCCGGGGGGTGGGTGGGTGGGGAAAGGTCTGTAGAAGACTCCACACCAATCAGCACACTGGGAAAAATCAAGTCTACAGAGCCAGTAGACTGCAGGGACCAAGGTGTGGGACACTGGATGTGGAGCCTGTGGGCAGCCAGCCACACTTGCCAGCAACATTCCAGAATCTCCTGGCAGTCTCCAAACACAGTGCCCACCTTAATGCTTCAGGCACAGGCACCCAACCAAGCTGGAAAGCTACAGGTCAGCCCTCACAGGGAAGACCTAGGAAAGTCCCCCCACTCTGACTCAGCAGTAACAGATGCATGCTGTTTTCTGAGAGCCAGGATACTGAGCCCGGCTTGGTAATTCAGTAGCTGATAAAGTGGTGTCGTAATAACCACTTAAGCCATGGTACAGTGCTACACAGTGTTATGTGTCATGCTTCAGAGGGTTCTTATAAGTCACTGTGTTCTGGGGATGGAGACACGGCTCAGTGGTCAACAGTGCTTGCTGCTCTTCCTGAGGACCTGAGTACAATTCTTAGTGCCCACATCAGCCAGCTCACAGCTGCCTCTAACTCCACTGGCCTCCGAAGGCACAGAGAGCATATATTTACACAGACAGAAACACACAGAAACAGACAGAAACACACAGTCTTTAAAAGGTTACTGTGTTGCTGCCCTGACATATTTAACTGAGGTGAATGTCAGCTCTTACTGCACTTGAGAGCATCAGTCATGTCCCCTTCCTGCAGCTGCTACTGCCAGAGGCGCCTGCCCTCTCTAGGAGGGAGGGCATGTAACCTCATGAGCAGAAGCCCGCCCTGCTGGGCCGTGCACTGCTGGAGGAACCAGCCTGTGGGACCCAATGCCCCGTGGCCTGGTGACCTGTGGGTGTGTGGAGCCCATGTGTGTACCGCTTGGATTGAGTGGGTGATGGCTCCTCCAGCAGGAGAGAACTCAATTCAGCATGGCCAGCAAGGAAGAAGACCAGCTGCTGGTTTGGTCGGTGGTACCTCACAAAGTGGGTCACACAGAAACTCCCACACTTATAAACTAGGGGTGGTGGCACACACTTGTAATGCCAGCGTTTGGAGGGGGAGACTTCAAGGTCAACCCTAGTTACGTGTTACACAGCAAGTCTGAGAGCATCTTCGGATACGTGAAACCTAAAGAAAACCAGAGGGGGCCAGAGAGGGAGTCAGATGGACAAAGTGCGCAGGCAGCCTTAGGGGAGATTCCAGGGCACGACATACACTCCTGGACCACAGCTTTTCAGAGAGAAGGAAAGCAGGTGGCAAAATGATGATGTGTTCACTTTTAATGACACTCCCCACAGGTGACAGGGACAGGCATGCGCATTATCCAGTGTCCTATAAAGCTACACCCTGTTGTCACTCAGCAAATCCAACAGCACTTAGGGACACAGAGGATGCTCAGGACGTCACTGATGCTAGGGCAGAGAGAGTCAACTACAGATACTCCTTCCAAGAAAGCACACAGTCAGCCAAGCGTGGTGACCACACATGGAATTTCAGTTCTCTGAGGCCGAAGGCTTGTAGGCTGCGCTACAAGGTCCTGACTGGGCTACACACTGAGAGCCCAACTCAACCCCTGATCCCTCAGAGCAGTATTCAGTGTTGTCAGCCTCAACAAGTGTGCTTCCTTGGGACTCTGTGTCTGTGCACGTGTGTCTGTGTGTGATGCATGCATGTCTCATACTACACTGGAGTGAGCTTTAGGGCTATCTGTATTTTCCCCTCCTCATTCTCCTACTTTTTTTGCAACAGGGTTTCTCTGTGTAGCCCTGGGTGTCCTGGAACTCACTCTGTAGACCAGGCTGGCCTCGAACTCACAGAGCTCTGACGAGCTCTGCCTGTCTCTGCCTGCAAGTGCTAGATTATAAAGGCGTGCACTATTATTATTTCCTTAAGGTACAGAGGCAGGACTGCAGATGGCGAGCGACACAGGACCCTGCTCCACAGCAAGGAGCAGACAGCAGCCGGGTCCCACTGCTGCGCCGTCACCATCACTGTCACCACTGCGCCGTCCCTGCTTCCCCAGCCCCTTGGCACTGAGGAGCCTATGGCACACTGCCCTCTGGATAATCCCTCTGTTTTCACTGTGAGTCACAGAGTGGCCCGAGGTCTTCGTACGCATTCACAAACAGACATACAAGTTGTAAGTAAGTACCTTCAGGAACATGGCTCTTTCGTCGGGCGTGAAGTCGGAAGCCAGGATGTCCCAGAGCCAGATGATGACTCTGTGACTCCCATGAAAGCCGCCGTAGTACACCGTGTGCTTCCTGAAAACAACCCGGAGCAGGGCCCACAGTCAGGAACAGGCAGGCAGGGCACTGGCCAAGGTCCCATGCCACGGCCTCAGCCCCCGGAAACTAAATGGGCTGTCACCAGGGTACCCAGAGTCACTCTGCATTAGATGCATTAGAATCCAGGGAGGGATCAGCTCTCCCAGGGGGCCCCATCATGCCACAAGTCCCTCCTCAGCCCTTACTTTAAGTCTTCCAAGTCGATCTCAGCGTTGTCCCCGGAGATGAGGCGCTGAAGCTCAGGGGTCGAGAACATTCGGATCCACTCGGGCTTGATAATGGAACGGAAGCCACTGATGAGAGCAGCCGCCTGGTTTTTGATCTGAGTGTGCATTCGAAAATGCGCCATCAGATGGATGTAGCTAATTCTGAAACAAGAGAGAGACGCTGGGACTAGCCGGCCAGGGCAGGCTGCTGCCACACGTGCAAGGAGACGAGCCTAGTGCTTTTGAACCATCTCCGAAACACAAATGCTAGCGTCTATCAGCAGGTGCCGTGACGCCGTGATGGTGGCCTCCAGGCCACACACTGTGCCACCATGACGGCACCGAGTGTTGAGGGCACTGCCTGTTCACTTGTCCTCACAGCACCCAGGAACTCCCTGGGATGGCCCCATGCTCTCCGGACCGAGGGCCACCTGCACAGGTCAGTCCCACTGGACCTCTCTCAAGGACACAGCCTAGTGCTCCAACCAACTTCAGAGAGAAGCTGCCTCTCCTGCAGCAGCACACTGAAGCCTGAAGCACTGTCAGACTGGATCTACTGTCTCCAAAATGCTGCTGGGTTATTCCTAGGTTCAACAGGGAGGTCAGATCAACCCGCACTTATGGGGAAAAGGGTCTCCAGCTAGTGCCCCTGGATCTAGCTTGACTACAGCTGCAGGCTGTCACCCCAGGAAGCTGGCCAGTGTCGCTGATCTGTTGGCAAGCACGCCCAAGTACGCTATTAAAAACTGCATGTGAAGAATAGTCCAAATAATTCCACTTAGCCTCATAGTGCCCAAGTCAAAGTTACTGTCCCTGAATATTTCTAGATTAAAAAACAGCAACAAACATTACACACTAAATACATTCAAATATGAATTTTCAATTATCTCCTTCTTCCGTGTACTCTATGAAGGAGGTTACTAATACTGTGTGTGTGTATGTGTGTGTGCACGTGTGCGTGTGTGTCAGAGAGAGAGAGAGAGAGGGGGAGAGAGGGAGAGAGAGAGAGAGAGAGAGAGAGAGAGAGAGAGAGAGAGACAGAGAGACAGAGAGACAGAGAGACAGACAGACTCACCATAGGTAAGATTCCCGACACAAGGCTCCGTGAGGCTCCGTGGCAGGAGAAGAATCTTACGGTAGCACAGCCCACATGGGTGCAGCTCCGCAGCCCCTCAGCCTGCCTCCACTCACCTCCCTGGTCCCTCCAGACAATGTAGACTTATCTCCAAAGCTCTTCAGTATGCAAGAACTCACCTGCCCGGGCCTGTAGCCCCTACAGAGTCATCTTCCCTGGCTTTATAGCCTGTATGAACTCACCTTTTCTGTCATTTGTAGACCCAGTTGTCAGTTCTCTCTCTCACACACACCCTATAGCACACTTTGCTATAGTGACCTCCCTGGTGGGTGGGCAGGTCTACAGGACATGCCCCATATCTGCTCTCAAAAAGTCTGAGCCCTCTTTTCAGCTAGATATCTCAAAGGCTGTTTTGCACATTGCACACTGCTGTCCCGAGGAAGTCACAACCACACAGACAGGACCAGGGCTCACCCTGTAGACTCACCTTAGCCATCTGCTCTATAGCCAACGCACGCCCTGTGGCTGAGGGCAATGCTGATGGATTTCAGCCCTGGTGAAGACTTCTAAAGTTAAAACCTAAAACCCCTCAAGCACACAGGCTACCAAACTAGCGGACCCGAGAGGAACGGGGTGCAGGAACACTGCACTGGGGCCAGATGAGTCACAGGGCCTGAGCCCTCACTTGTCCCTGTTGAGATGAATGCTAAGACAAACAGTTCAAATCCTGAGTTGGGGTGGCAGAAAACTTACAAGAGAGCCAGTGTCCCCTCCTCCTGCCAAGCAGACCATGCGTTGAGGGGTTTGTTTCTGGGATCAAAAGGATTGAATTTCTGACATTACTAAAAGCACATTATCTGTGACAGGAGCTGCTGTGCCCAGCACCTCCTTCAGCTCCCAGCCTCTTAAGTACGAATCTGCCACGTCTGCATTCACACTGTCTTCCTGAGAGCAGCCATGTGGCTGCCAAGATTCCTGCTCGCCTGCCCTCGGGACAGCTTGCCTACGCTGCTTAGGCTCCGTCTGCCTGGGAGTGGGCCATTCCTACATTCCTAAGGACGGTGCCTCTGACCTTCCAAGTGCTTCTGCAAAGAGGAAACCGTCCACTCTTATTTGCAAATTGAATTTCCTACAATTCCGGCCTATGAACTGTAACCAGAAAATCCCATTAGGATATCTATGGCTTCTTTCCACCCATCTGTCTTGCTCAGCTCTCAGCCTGAGCTAGAGCCAGAGTGGTCCCGCAGGCGCGGCCTCGGGCGCTCACCGAAGTACTCACTTGTTCTCATCTGTGACTGGGATGGTCTTCCCTCCAGGAACCAGTTCGTGGCAGACAAGCTGGGAGAGAAGACGGAGTAATTACCAGAGAGAACTCGAATGAACGGGCTACCAGTGCTTCCTGGAGATGAAAGGGCTGCACAAACGCCCGCGATAACAGTGGAATTAAGAAGCTGCGTGTTTGAGAAGGATCATTTTTCACAAAAGCCTGGGGCCAAAACATCAACACACAGGCCTCCTGTCGTAGGGAGGAAAGGTTTCTCATCCAATCCTTGTCCAAACATTTGCACTAAGGCTGCTGGATGCCACAGAGGAAGGCTGTTGCTGAAGACAGTGGCTGGGTGTGAACACCCACACCTGGGAATACTGCACCATTACCAAAAGAAGAGCATGGACTCGCCGGGCAGTGGTGGCGCACGCCTTTAATCCCAGCACTTGGGAGGCAGAGGCAGGCGGATTTCTGAGTTCGAGGCCAGCCTGGTCTTCAGAGTGAGTTCCAGGACAGCCAGGGCTATACAGAGAAACCCTGTCTCGAAAAAACAAACAAACAAACAAACAAAAAAGAGTGTGGACTTGCTGGGGAAACAAGCTATATGGCAAAAGACATAGTACCATATCACACACACACACACACACACACACACACACACCTGTGGGGAAAGTCTGGAAAGACACATGGGACACATTATAATACTTTTCAAAGATGGAATACCCTCTAAGGTGAAGGTGAAGGCAGAGTCTGAGAAGCCGGTTCGGCACCAATATGCTCATGGTTTCTCCAGAGCAGATGTCAGACTACATGGACAGAGAGCCTCCTGCAGGGACATGAGAGGGGGCAGAGGACATGGGCGAGTCCTGCCACTAACTGTGACAGAAATGGCTTCTGCCAGGCTGATTTCCTCTCTGTCCCTGATGATGATGTGAACGGGATTTGACCTCCCCAGCGGAGCTTCTCCTTAGGTGCTGCCCCTCCACATCAGGTCAGAAATCTCATTTATACTGGCCAGTCCTCACCGTGGTTTCCACACAGACTCACAGCTTGACACAAACTACAATAGGAAGGCTGGGCATAGGCAGACCCTCTCTCAGGTCCCAAGACATAACCCAGGCAAAGCAGAGGCTCTGTGGGAGCTGGCCGAGGTGGGCATCAGAGGCCAGGCTGGCAGGGAACACAGTAAACCATCCCTGCAGTGACAGGCAGCTCCCCAGTGGGCGGATCTCTGAGGGAACCCATGAGCCGGGGCGTCTCGAGAGCTGAAGCAGCCTGCCAGATCGGCCCACATACCTGACCCATGACGTCTTCATCGTAAGACAGTGTCAGCCCGAGGTCTGCGACGTCTCCATCATAGCGCTAACGAAACAGAGAGAAAGCACTGGGGCCTGTGTGGGCAGAGCGCTTCCCTCCATGGGGCCACTGGTCACAAGGACAGAAGAGGCCGTGGGCCTCAGCCATGAAAGGGGCCCCAGGGTGGGGTTGGGGTTAAGTCTCAGTGACAGGAAGGGTGACTCAGCTGGTCGCTCGGCTGTGGACGCACAGCAACAACCAGCACTAACCTTGATAGAGGTGAGGTTTTTATAGAACTCTGCGTCCAGTGATGGAAGCTCGTCCACGGAGCTGTAGAAGATGCTGTGATGGTGCCCAAGCATCTGGCTCAGGAAGAAGGAGGCGAAGGGCACATCCACCACGATCCCCTAGAGGAGACAGGACGGAGGGCTCAGCTCTCAGCTCAGGGCACCCGAGTGCGGGCACCAGTGGAGTCTAGGTGTCAGCCTGTGGCTATACCTCAGATCATCTAACAAAGCCTCAAAAGATCTTGGCGAGCAACAGTTGTAGGCGCAGGCCTTGGAGCTCAGTACCACAGGGATGTGACCTCAGCTGAGCTGCGTGCGCAGGTGGCTCTCACAGCCCGCGTCCATGGACGGGAACCAGGGGCTGTGAGGGAATCCCCTGAAGAAGCCCTCACTACCTTGACCCCGTGAGCCTGAGAAGCCAAGAGTCCTGAGACTTGGACCTGGTGCCAGGTTCGATCTTACTTACTGTGGTGACAACCCTGTCACACAGCTTTCCTTATCCCGCTTTACTGACGAGGTGACAGGCTCACAGGAAGGAAGTGCAGGTGGATGCTACACTGCTGGTGACAACTACTCTCTCTGTCCTATGCTAACTCCCAGGAGCCTCTGTCTCCTACAGAGTCCACTCAAGTGACAGTCAGTGAGCTGGGATGGCTCAAGGACAGAACATGCTGACTTAGCTTTCAAAGCCCGAGTTCCATCCCCAGACAGAGATGCACATGTCACTTTATTTTCTTCTTTTTGAGATAGGGTCTAGCTGTGTATCCCGGCCGGCCTCAAACTCATGATCCCCCTGCCTCGACCTCCTGAATGACAGGATTACAGGGGGCATGCACCGCCACGCCCAGCTCTCAGGCATCACCTCACAGCTGTCCCACAATCCTTTGCGCGCCTACCTCATACACTGCCTTTCCCAGCATCTTCCCCACAAACTCGAAGAGCTGCAGGTAATTCTCATGAATGTAGGATGTGGGCGAGGGGTACAGCCTCTCATCCCCGCTGGTTGTCTGCCAGGAGGAAGGACAGGGAGAGGTGGGAGTTAGAGGCCTGTCTTTACTCTGCATGGGATCCCTGTGTCTGGTTACTGCCAGCCCACGGGCATCCCCTTAACCACCTTGAACAGGTTGAGCGCTGGGTCAAACACCCTCTTGATGATCTCCTCCAGAAACTCCTTGAAGACGCCGTCCTGGTCAATCCCGGCCTCGTCCACGCCAAGGTCATTGACGAACTTCACTCGGATCACGCCCTTCATGGCGTGCTGGGGGAGCTGCCGGAGCTGTTCGTAGCCATCCTACAGAGAGAGGTTCAGCCCACTGAGGAGAGCAGCCCGGGCAAACCCTGGCATCTGACATGCAGGACAGCACACCGTCATGGAGGGTTCATTTGATGGCCACAGTGTCTCACTCGTGGGCGTGAGGAGACTGCCCCATGTCAGGAGGACAGAGTCTGACGGCGACACTAGACAGAATGAGGCGTGCTAGCTCTGACCATCAAAGGTGGGGGAACCGGGGCAGATGGCAATCTCTCTCCCTCATTTAATGCTGAGAATATCTCTCAGCTCACGGGTGGAGTCAGGCTTACAGGACACAGTAAGATGAAAACTCAGGGTCTTGGCTGCTGAGAAGGGGCTGGAAAGGCTGGAGCAAGCAGGCAGGCCTTCTGAACTAAAGACCTGCTGGCGGCGGGGCGGCCGAGGCGGGATGCCCAGGTGCAGCAGAGAAGCGGAGTCGGCCTGCCCACCCGCGGGAAGGTAGGGACACGGAGCTGCTGCTGGGACAGCCCAAGATTTGACGGTTTGCGGTCAGCTCCTTCTAAACACAGCCACGTGAGAGTGTCGCTCTGTAGAGTAAGAGTGCTTAGCCCACGCCAGGCTCTCGGTGTCAGCCGAGCACTGGAAACCAAGATCAGTAAACGCGGAACTGAGTGTGTCTCCTCTCCAGAACCCACGCACACATGCCAAG